TAAAATAACAACCATTGCAATATGTTTGAATAGGACAAATGTTCTAAGAGATTTGTTCATTTTAATTTACTAGTAAGTAGCCAGGGAAAATATTTATATATTCTCTTTTATCTGTTCAGCTATGCAGGAAAAAAGATGTGGAAAAAGCAATTGTTTCCATTCTCCCTTGGCTCTCATAATAAGGAAAAGTTGCCTAAGGGTGGGCTGGTAACTCCCCCTTTTGATGAACTGACCAATTTTTTGGAGCAGTTAAACTACAGCCTAGAACTATTTCTTTTGTCTCTATTTCCTCTTTGTCTTTGCTTCAGATAAACCAGGAATCCACAATAAAAAATACTGATTGTCAAATGAGACATCAAGATACTTTCTTTCGGTCACTTTAATCCTGAACAAATGTGGGATTCTGTGTGTATAATTATAACAACAATTTTCAGTGATGTTCCTTTGTGCTTTGTAAGATTCTCGTTCCTCCAAAGCATGAGGGTAGTATTCATCCAGCACTTACTGACTACTTATGATATGCCTGTAATTTTGCTAGTCACTTAAAATATAGACACAAAAAGAATATGACCCCCCAAAAAGAATATGATGGAGTGTCCTTAAAAATCTGCTGGTTTGGTCAGAAAAACATGAAAAGTCAAATTAATCTTTCTAGACCTTTTATTTTCGGAGCCGAGCAAGGAGAGGACACAGAGGAGGAAGACAGCGAGAGGCAAACTGTATAGGCATAGAGGTTCTTGGCAAGAAGTGGTCTTTACTCCTGGAAGGAGTGGACTTGGAAAGACAATAAGAGTTGGAGGTAAAAAGGGCAACTGCTCTTCTAGATGAGGCAAGCAATCCCTGCTACAGTGGGAGGCAGGGGCGGGAAGGGCAGGAAAAAGAGCACCACACTTGGCACAGGGGTTTCACATAAGGAATTGGTGGGAGCTAAGGTTGAACAGGAAGAAAAGGGCAAACTGTGAAAGGCCAAGAAACATTTTTATCTAGTGGTATTCTGGAAACTGGTCCACCCAAAAGTAAGAAAAACACCTGAGTTTTTACACTGAAGATTCCTATGGTGTTAATGCTTCTGCCCTGGCTGATTATAACAATCCACAAATGCTTGAATGTTTTTAAACTGGCTTCCCAATTTTAGCTGTTCTCATAAGACAACTCTTAGCTTTCTGAGTAGGACAGAGATACAGTAGAAGTTTAATTTGGTAGCAGCAGAACTCCAATGGTAGAGACTAAAATTGAGAAAGTCTTTTGGATTATATAAAAATCATTCTACTATGAGTTTAATAAATTAGTTGACCACAACACAAATTACCAAAAAAAAAAAAAAAAAAAAGGTGGGGGAGAAGATATATTTAGAAAGAAAAACTTAAACAGGCTTGATGAAGGGAACTGGAGTGGAAGAGTTTCTGATGGTTCAGATTTTCAGCCCAAGTGGCAGGAGAATGAGAATGTATCACTGAATGTAAAAAGAAAGTATACAGAGCATTTTGTAGCATTTGTAAATATGTCATTAGTTTTCACTCTGAAAGAAACCACTAAGAAGCAGGAGTGTGGTTCTTGCAGTTTCTGAGACCATAAACCCAGGTTGCCACTCCATGGGAGACCTTTCGGGCAGTCAGCCAGGCAGCTTGTCAGACCCAAAAGCCCCTCGTGTTCCATCACAGACAGTTCTCAGAAAGTGGAGAGGGAAGAGAACCCAGACAAGCGAGGCACACCTACCCAAGCCCATAGTGTCGTGCCTGAAATTCAACTATAAGAACTCAGAAATGTCAAGTAAGAGCTTTCCATAAAACAAAAAACCACCCTCTAGCTTGCTGTAATTCCCCCAGCTACACAAAGCTTATTACCATCAAAACCATAGCCAGCCTGACCTTTGCTAATAGGAGAGGGAGGAGAAAATTTTGTACATTTATCACTATGGAGGTTTTTAATCCTTCTGTAAAGCTGATCATGAATGTTCTCAGTACAAAAAAAAGGCTAGACTGCAATGGACTGCTGGTAAAGTCAACCTTTAACCATCAGTTTCAGAAGCGAGCCATTTAGCAGTTGGCCTCCCCTCATATTAAGGACCTAAGACAAGCCACAAAAGAGTGACAAACCTCCAGATGGAAATGATGGATGCCCATGAAAATGACTCACTCAAGTGAAAAAGGAAGCTCACTTATAGGGCCAGGATAAGACTCTCCAAATATAAGAGATCATATGCTGGGAAAGGTGGCCAAGCCTAAATCACCAGGCTCCACCTGGCTTCACTGGCAATGCCATTTAGCCACTGTCTCCTAGCTCTCAACAGGAGGCAGAGAGGCAGTGGAGCTATATGTCAGTGTCAAGTTTCAGCCTCCCCAGGACAGATCCCTTACCTTCAGACAGGGACAAATCATCAGCTGGAGACACCAGGTCTGCCTGAGAAGCAAGGGCTCCGCTCAGATGGGCTGTAATTTGATTCGTCAAGATAACCTGTGAATAGTCAGGGAGAAGGGAGGGGTAAGGAAGAAGAAAGAGAGAGAAGACCAAATTAATTATTAGAGCTATCAAAAGGCAGACTGTGGTTTAGGGAAAGACTGAAAACTACCCAGGTAGAAAAACCCAAGCTCTAACTTATACCAACTTTATCTTCAGGCAGGGCCTATTAGTTATTTAAAACCTAGAAAACTAAGAAAATAGGCTTTTTTTTCATAGCTTAAATGGCTAATCAATTCTTCCTAAATGCTGAGAAAATTGGGATGCAGAAATGTTACCATAATAACTAAAAAAATAAAAGCTAACCAGAATTAAGGTGCACATGCACACATTTTATCAACATTGACTGTAAAACTATGTCTACAATGTGAGATTAGATATTGTTAGGGCTGGATAAAATAATTTAAAATTTGGATGCCTGTAGCTTCTTCCTCAGTTACCTCAAAAGTCAGAATTTTATTTCCAAATTTGTGAAATAGGAATAAGATTCATCTCTAGTGGGATAATAGTCTTTTAAATGAGTTGAATTCTAACAAAAGAAGTCCAAAGTCTCACTATTCATTTACAACACAAGTTAACATAGCCTTACCTATATAAAATAAAGTTCAAACACTTAAAGTTCCTGGAAAGAACTTCAAAACTACCTAACTTACATGTCTACTGCACATAATATTTTCACATTTGGTACATTCTAGAGATTTTATTTTCCTAAAAAAATTCTCATTTATAAAATTTACCTTATTGTTTTAAAACCTAAAGGAGAAATAAAGTTCAGGATCTCTCCTGGGAAAATGTAACATGCTTTGAAATATAATAATTTCCCAAGATTTGGGGGCTCTCATACTAGGTAGAAACCGGCATCATGGTTCATCAGAGAAAACGTCCCTTTGGACAAAACCACTTGGCATCAAGGGCAAGAGTTAGTGCTTAGGATATACATCTAGTTGACTGTCTTGGTCTGTCCAGAGAATCAGCTAAATCAGCTCCATTCTTTATTATCCAGCTTTTCCGTTACACCTCTGTCAACATCTCTTGGATGGGCCAATGACACACTAGAAATCCTTTACCAATGGCAGCTTAACTGAGGGCTGAAAGGAGAGCAAGAAGTTTCACAAGAAGTGAAATGTTCTGTTAGCAGAGACAACCTCTTAAGGTCTTCAAGTATCAGAGATTTGTGAGTCTCCAGCGACTCTGTAGAAGTGATCAGGTATTTCAGATTCCACCCAGCAATGGTTAATCTTATCCCTTGTAGTGTGTATTTCTGCCTTTCATATGGACTGGTAAGAATCACATAAGATGTGTCTTCAATTAAAATGGCTGGAAATGGTCAAACAACCTGCTTTTTAGGAAATAACTATTTTACATTTAAGAGTATGAGCAAGGAATTGTGTTCCTCCCTCTCTTTATAATATAGGGTTTGAACTTTGCAATTTAATAAAATTGGGTTCAAAATCAGACTCTGGAATTGAATGCTAGGGAAAGTTACTAAACCTTTGCACCCATGTAACTGCAGGTAAAATAATACAGAATTGTTAAGAAAATTAAGTGAGAATCAAAATAAGGTACTTAAAACAGTGGTGCTTAACAAATACTTAATAAATAGAAGACATTGTTGTTATTTACCCCAGAATGATGATATACAGGCTAATAAATGAGAATATGCTACATGCTTCAGATAATTGGTTCTAATAATAGAACACTAAATCACAATTTTCTACATCAGGAAATACTTTGGTACCTGATCACTTCTACCAAAGTTTTACTTAATTGAAAATAATTTGTGTAAAAACCACAGTAAGAAAAAAAACAGTAATTAGTTAAAGCACGGCCAATAAGACAGTAACATTATTCTGAAAATATTACATGGTTTATCTACCAAGGAACAAAATAATTGATCTCTCTGAATTCTGAGCAATCTAACTATGTAAGCTTTAATTTTTATGTGATTATTTTATTTTTTATTAGTTAAATTATTATTAGCTACATTTATTATTTATTATTATGTTACATTTAGATTACATAATGATTACATTTCTTGTGGGAAGTTGGTACATGTACATAATGCATAATGCATAATACACAGTATATAAATGTTCAATGACAAACTTTACAGAAGACAAAAATTTCTCTGTTCACCGTATGTGTACTTTGTAAACAGTAATTCACTATAATGCAATTTTAAACTAAAAAAATGGTAGTTTGCTTGTATTATAAAGATACTGATTTTATGGCCAGCTAATTAAAGAAATGATAAACAAACTATTCTTAGTGGTAATGTTGAATATTTTTAAATGATTTCTTTTATCTTTGAACACACCTTTAATGTACTACTATCTCAAACTTAGGATGTTTTTTGTTCTGTCCAGGACAATCCTCTACAAGCAAATCTAAACTAAAATGTATTTAAGAAATGCCCATGCTCCCTTTAAAGAAAAGAATAGGATAAAACAAGGTCCAAGGCATCACATATCTGTATTCCTCTCCAACAGTGAACTGAACAAGGTTTCTTTGTATGTCCTCAACTATTCATGTCACTCTTCACATTTTTCCTGGAAGAAAAAACTAAATAGAAGGAACCACTAACTTATAATATATTAGAAAAATAAAGGGAAATATTTGGATCTAACTGGGGGAAAAAGACTTGAAAATAATTGTATGAAAATCATTATTCATTATCACATGCAAAAATACTAATGTTAACCTAACAACTGCCTATGATCTAAAGAAAATTTTATCACCACCTAGAAATCTTTTGATCTTTTATGAACATCAGTGTTTTCCCCAAACCACTTCCCCACCCGCTGTGGAACCACTTCTTTGAGGCAACAGTTTTAGATCTACACAAGCTAAACCTTGATATATATACTATCCTTCTGACACTGGTGCTAAATTCATAACACTGGAATGAGACTCAGTCAACAAAAAATTAGTCCCTGAACTTTCACAATGTACTTAGTCTTGGTAGCTAATGATTCTACCCACATTTTACACCTGAGACTCCCAATTTTATACTTTCAAAGTATGGAAAAAGGCACATTAAAGGTATATGGATTTTACATAGCTCAAAACAGAAAGGCAAAAATTACCTTAATGAAAACAAAAATGTTTTATCAGATTACATGCCTGAGCAGAAAACGTGGAGATAATACTTTTTTTAATATTGACATGTTTAGGGGTACATTTAATTTCAAAATACTTTCAAATTGATTTCAAATCCCTCTGGAAGAAAAAATTCTCTACTTTCTTTCAGTAAACTACACTTACTTATACAAATACAGAAAAGTCTGTAACATTCTTTAAATACAGACAGTATGAAGACAACCAGAGATCAGGACTAATCAGATCCATGAGCTGTGAATATAATGCTGGTATGGAAAATACAGCTGATACTTCCTCCCCTAAACTACTCAGTGAATGGCTACTTCTGTTTCCAGCTGTAGGAACAAAGCACCTCTATCACATAGTGTGCGGGCGCGTGCACACGCATGCACACACACACATACACACACCATTCAACTCTCAGATATTCAGGGCCACGATCTCAAATCTAGAGCTCTGCTAGTTCGACTGATGATTTAGATCACAGAAGTCTGCTAATCCATGCAATGCATAATTCACAAGATCTACCTAATGTCAAAAGCCTCGTTAAGTTTTAAGGATTTTTTACACTAAATTCTAAAATGGCCACTCACAAGAGAAACTCACAGAAATTATGATGTCCAGAATCTCCACTGCTCACAATGGAAACACCTGACTTGCAGTTGGTTTATAAAAGAGGTAACAATCTACAGTCCTTTGTTCCATCCTATCTACAGTCCTTCTTTTAAGCCATAGTAAAATCTTATTAAAGGTAGGAAAGAAACAGACTCTGCAGAATGAATTTGGGCCAAGTAAATGTACGAAAAGCACACCTTAAAATCTGAGGGTGGGCCACCATGAAAGAGCAAGACACAGTGGCCCCATCTACAGTTCTACTCAACTGAAATAATGGAATATACTTTTAGCTCGGGTATTTAAAATTTTCTAATGATTGAGCTTTTGTTAGGACAGAGGGATTTCCCAGCTTTTTTTCCAGTCAGAAAGTGCTGAAGGGAATACCTATAGCCTATTCCTTTAGCTAGTCCTTAACCCTCTCCATGGGACAAGTAGATGATCTGATTAGACAGAACATGGCCACTATTAGAATATCTTACACCCATGGGCATGGTACCTGCACTGAAATAACTGCGAACACTTCTGGGATCTCAAACAACCGGATATGTGACAAAGGGTAAATTGTCCCTTTTTCCCTCCCTGTGCTAAAGCTTTCCTTAAATGCAAGGATGGGGGCAGTTTGGAAAGATAATAAGCATGGACAGGAGTCTCTGATTCAATGAGGAAAGACAAGGAAAACTGCTTTGGCCTCAGACCTAAGCCACAGTCTCCTAAGCATACAGGAAGTTAGGGATTTGCCCATACTAAAACAGTTTTACTCTGCTTCTCATCTACCTAAAGATCTTGGGTGCAAAACTCCAAAGGTAGATACAGGTGAGTAGATACAGGTGACTTCAAGTGAAGTCTTGAACTCAAGAGCCCCCAGTGACAGTCACCCGTCGACATTTTAGATGTAGGTTAGAAAGGGCATAATTGCAGTGCCCATACCTTGATGACAGGGACCAATTTCTTGATTTTTTTCCTCTGTTCTCAGTTGAGTATAGTTTAGACCAATAAGCTTTTACCCTAACCAACACTTTTCCTTGGTCTGAAGAGGTGAACAATGGGATCAATAAACTTAAATGGGAAATGAGGCATGAGTTGAGGACAAGCAGAGAAAGCCCATTCTTTGGCACAGAAAGGAGGCAGCTCCAGGTCTGAGTGTGAGGAAGATCTAAAGGAAAGAGCCAAAGAGGATAAAAAGGAAGATAAAACTTTGTTTAGGGATGGTTCTGACTTAATATATTTCCATTATTGAAAATTTCTATGAGCTATTATAGATATGTAATATATATGTACATAAA